AATGATATTCTGTTTCGAATACACGGTTCCGGAACAAAAGCAGTCAATATTAATTATTTTACTTATTTATCCGGAATTCGTTCATATTATTTTTGTATTAACCCATTATCTGCCTAATCATTTCTGAGAGTGTCCGTGGGGAGGGGGGGCGAGGCGACGCCGGTGGAAGAGGGCGGCAACGCGCAGGGCACGACGCGGCGAGGCCGGCGTAGCACATTGAAACAATTTGCTGAGGGCTGGCCTCGGTGGTGTGGGGTAATATGCGAGTAACTCGATCAGCGCGGGATCAAAAGCGTCCGCTCGTTGGGTTTGGCACCCTGATAGACGCGCGTGCGGATGAAGGAGGGGGGAGGGGGTTCCCAGCAACGCATCGCCGCCTTGCGCCCCTCCCCCACGTCGCCCTTCCCCTCCGGCGCGCGTATACGACTCGTGTAAACTTGAATCGCGGCGCGGCCGCACGTGCTCGAGTCGTTGGGCGACGGGCTGACAAGTGTGCAACGCTGAAGACTACTTCCATAAATGATGTTAGAGAAGCGAACATCCCATGTCCTATATCTTAACTCTTAGCTGCACGCTCATTGTAGATCCACCTACTTGAGACGCTAAAACGAAATATAGATCGCAGTCTATCTGCGCACGCGAGTTTAAGTTTACGCACTTACTAGCGCATCCGCAATGATACGCTATGCTGACGCGAAGCTGCACAAACTCGCATGATCAGTTCGTTCTGCTTTAATTTTATGTAGGACTACATGCACTGCACACGTAGAGACAATAACACAGCTATCTATACTTTGTCCGCATTCATGCGCAGATGTCTACTCAGAGGTGATTACGGGTAAATTTGTGAATACCTCGCGCTGCGGTCGCAAAAAAGATCGAGTTAGTCTTTAATGGCTCTCTGTGCTTGGTGAACTACATAGAACATCTCTACTTAGAGCTACTCTACATTTTTACCTCCTATAATGCCGATGGGCCATAGATTCTGACAGCTAGTGCTTCAACAAAAACTGACGATTCTGTGGTCATGTTTTGTCCTTACTTATAGACTCCTGTGCTTCCATACATGCGTTGTGCGTTATAACATTTGCAGGTTGGTGCTTAAACTGTCAAAGTCCACGACGCTCCGATATGTCGCGCGTGTGATGTCCTCGTTCCGACACGAAAATATACGTGACGCGTCGAGAAATAATTGAAGTTTAGAGTAGTCGCACACAGACGCTTGGTGCCGTCTAACATGTAAATTTGCCTACTTTTTTTTGTTATTAATAAAAAGATTATATTGAATTTAGTTTTCTGTAGATAAGTATTATGTTTGTTTTTAAAATCGAGTCAGGCCTTGAATGTGAGATGTTGCCGGTGGAGCTCTCGAGATGCATGTTCGCCTCATTTGGTTTTAGTTTCATGAGATCGACGTAGTTGGTTGCGAACTCCTTTCGCCCGTTGACTTATTTCGTGTGGCGGCTGTGACCTGTGATGTGTGAGATCTTTTCCGTTGATATTTCGGTGCCTTTTTATGAACAGTGTAGTACATGCGTGATGTTGAGTTGATCCTCGCTCTGATAGTTTGTTCTGTTTGTCAGTCAGCATATGTGTGAACAAATGAACGCAAGCTCCAGCATATTGGTGCGCCACACAGTCTCGCATCCTCAGCTTAAGATGTGTGCACTGGGCCTAGTCGAACCTAGAAGAATAAATATCTACATCTCGTTCGCTGTATGAAATTAAGAGAAATGCAATATAAGGATAAGACCGAAAGCAGATGATCTTGTCTCTACTCTCGAACTCACAGACAGACTACACGTTGCTTGAGATTCGATTTTTCTTTGTTTTTTCGATTGGGTACAGTCATAAATTACAGTTATATATATGTTTATGCTGAGCAGTATCTATATTATATATGTGTGTACTTTTACTATAACGCACTTTTCACCTATATATTCGATATTTATATTTTGTTACAACATAATACTTATATGTTTTAAGGTTATAGCATAACCAGAACTTGGTGCTTATAGTACATACTAAGATATTTTTCAGCCTGCTCTGTGAGAATAGAGTCGTGAAAGTGACAGATCAGACACGTGTAATATTAGCTTTTACGGCTCGCAGGAAGGCTCAAGAAGGGGGTTCTGGATGATTGTAGCAGAAACTGTGTTTCCATTGGCTATAATAGTAGTTAAAGTGGTATTTTAAGTACCTTCGGTTCAGATGTGTTGAACAATGAGTGGGCGATGCTGTTTGAGGAATGGATGCGAGAATATCCTATGTTTCCCACATCTTTGTATGAAACCGTCTGTTATTTGTGCTTACCACACGTAAAGATTGTCGTTATCGCACCATTTTTAGACTCATCGTAAGTAACAGCCTGAATATCAATTGCGCGTTACATCAATGATGAAGAAACATATAATTGCATATTATTTTTCACATTTCTATTAATACAAATGCTAAAAGAACATACAATAGTTCGATTTGTGACTTATTTGTTTCAGAATAAGGAGGATTAAGTATAATTATATGTATCTTAATCAAATATGACTTACTAAGTTGGATTGAGATGTATAGTATTAAAACCTATTAGAAAGTGGATACGATATTTGTCAAACTGTGTATAAAACTCACTGGGTGAAATACTCCATCATGAATATTCCAATTAGGGCTGTATGACACTTCACCAGAACTGTTTGCTTTAGCAATTCTACTTTCTTCAGACAAGACTCCAGAGAAACTTGGATGATATTCTGCTCTCAATGCTTTGCCCACTTATTAATAAATAATTTATCATAGCCACAGATTCGTAGATGTAACTAGCAACGTTTAATTATAAATATGTACTGATTTTCTAAATTTTGTATTTATGAATGTTCTAGACAATGTAATTGTATATGGTAGGTCAAATGTTAATTTATATGAGTTAAGATGCCTTAATCAGATAAGAATACATTGGACAACTGGTGTGAAATGATTTCAGTAACGTTGTGAGTAGCCATTTTGCGATTGCTGAGAGTTTTTCATTCGCCAGTAAAATATTTGTAGGATCTAGTAGTGTGACGAGATAAATCCGCATGTGATCTGGAACATGTAACTGTGTGCGTTACTATCTCGCACAACAGTCATGTGCCATATACTTATGCCGATTAGATAGATAAGATGGCAATGATTGCAAGAGTGTATTACAAACACTCATGTTGGAACTCAATTCTGATCAGTGCTCATGTAAAACAAGTTTGCACGATGCCCTTTCATCAAGTTACAGCTGAGAGTAAGTGTTATCATTATGATTTATGTCACTATTATATTTTACTCAGTTTGTTACTATATTATCTCTTTTAGACATATACTACAAGTTGAAATAGTAGATTATTGTTTGTGATGAGAACTTAAATATTAATCCTCGTAGGTGTTGCATTCTGTTATGCGAGAAGAAGATTCATAGATTGATTTACATTACCTCTAGGTTAGATTGTCTCGCGAAGTTAATAGTAGGCAGTTGAGAAGTAGAAATTGGGCCCGAAATCGCAGCAACTTAAAGATTCAGGCTGAAACCCGGTTGATTATATCTATTATTGTGTGACATATGACAATTCAAGTTGAGGATGGAAAGCGACGAGTAGTGAACCGATATTTTAATGGGATGACTAAGTGATATACCATACTATGACGTATACCTCTGTCTTTTTTACCAGGAAATCAGGAGAGGGGTGGTTGATATCATGTATAGAATTAACCGTGTACTAGTAGATCGGAGGTGTACAGTTATCTTGAAAGTGTGTATAGTAATTAGAAGCATATCATATGTCATTGTCCATACTTCACATGCATTTTCCTTTGTACTTTATACGCTAGAGGAGAAATTTGCAGTTTGACTTTTGCAGTGGAGAAACAAATCTGGACTAGAGTATTTGTGGATAATCTTAGTTAACAAAGAAGATTCCTATTGTTTAATATTTTAATTAATAAATTTGTACATTTTGTCTTCTATTATTTTCGAGTGGCTGAGTTGCTTCAATTTATGTTCCCATGTCTGCGTTGCGATCTAGGATGATGGATACGCTCCGGTTTGGCGCCTCGCGTATGCATCTCTCCAGGCACTGTACCACTCAGTTCGAGACTGGAGAATAATATTGCTGGATTTGTCTTAGGGAAGTATATTCTTGAACCGCCAATAATGACAAGCCAGGTGCTTGAAGAGAGAAAATATTCAATTTAAAAAGATGGAATACTAATTTAAATTTAAACTAAACGAACACTAATGAAATTTTTCTCTTTTTGTTCCAGGAAACTTTCCACTGACACAAGGAAACAACAAAATGGTTGTATTAATATTTACCACAATTAATTAAAATCAAATATTTCGCTACCAATTTCTTTCATTTAAATTCTGTATTTGTTTTAAATGTTTGTGTATTGAATTTTGTTATTGTATGATATTGTAATTTTTGTGTACTGTTATTATAATTGTAGTTTGTGTATTGTATTGTGTATTATATATTATTTAAATTTGTATGCTGTGTGTGTTAGAGTGGACTTGTGGCGTAACTAAACAGCTGACGCGGCGGAGGGATACTTCTCTGAAGTGCACGTGATGTTCACTTGTTTCCCGATCTGTCACTTTATCCCATCCTTATGAAAATTCTTCTATAGTAAAGAGTTTGTGCCAGCATTAGCGTCAGCACTATCTAACTTCTGCGTATGCGCAGAGGCACGAAAGTGCACTAAATTTGAACCGCGCATGCGTAGTAGATCGACAGTGCTGTAACGTTCGAGGGTGCACTAACTCCCTTTTAATTTATCGGCCAGAACCTATCGGTGTTCTTCAATATCGAGGTTTTAAAGCTGGGTTAAATCTTAAATTAAATTCATGCGCAACAAAATTTAATTTGAAAGTGGTCGTGTTTATTAATTAAAACATATAAATGAATGTGAAGTGTGTGTCTATAATTTTAGAATTTTCAGCTATTAAATACTTTTTCAACTTAAAAGACGAATCTCTTGTCAAATCAATTGTCTGCGAGACTGTCCGTCTGTACGAACTGATTTAACTAAAAAAAAAGGTATTTGTTAACTTTAAATTTAATTACATTAGTTTTAATTACATAGTTACTAGTACTCTTGGGACCAACTCAATTTTCGTTTTACCATGCACCTCATATCCCAAAGGGTTCCGAAGATATGATTGATTGATTGATTTTGGTTGATTCTCCCCATCTCCGCGCTGTCTTGCTCTCCTGAGCGACCCGATATTCGACTATTCGCTAGACACCCACGCACTTGCGGGCTCTTCTGACATGGGATTCTCTCCGCGACAACACATACACGAGAGATAGGGGACAAACAACGAAGCCCAACCGCTCGAACCCGCGACCCTTCGGATCGAAACGCTGAGTTGGAACGCGCTCTTAGGGACCGCCCAGAACGGCGCAGAATATGTTAAAGGGGAAATAATACGCAATATCAAAATAAGCTCTTATGTACGGAACATTTAAGAACTAACAAAATAAATCTACAAAATGTGAAATTGCATTTATAAAATATTTATTAAAGCAATGTTAAATATTGCTTTACCTACTGAATTAATGTTTTTAAGAGTACATTTTTATGTTCGAGTGCAATGATATGTTTGTTTAACAATACATTAAATTAAATATTTTAACCAAAAAAAATCTTCACGAATACAACAATTACACATTGAAACCATTATTTAGAGGCAAAAATATAAACAATGCAGCTCCGTAACGCAGCACGTAAAGAGCAAATATTTAATTGCGGCGCCTCTTTCTTGGAGTCTGCTTGCACATGCCATAAGCAATGACGCACAGAGTATGAGAATTCAATCGAAGTTTCGTAATAACACAAATATAGGACTTTTTTTTTAACTTTAATCGAAACTGCTTTTGGAATATTTCAGAGTTCCCTGGTATACAACGAAACTGTAAACACATTCATAGTTTCCACTGAATTGCAGTGCGCATTGGAATAATTAATATACTAGAAAGCATTTATAGAGAAATTAAATAATAATGTTAATAATAATAATAATAATAATAATAATAATAATAATGCCGATGCGATAGTTGGAGATCGCTAAGGCAGAAGTGCCGTGGCGGCCTTGGACCAGAAGATGGTTCGAGTCCCGCCTCGGGCATTGTTGTGTTGTGTTGTGTGTGTCTCTGTATTATGTACGTGTCAATTTCATCATTCATAATCATCATCATAATTTCATCCCATCTCTCGGGGCTAAGAACCCTGGGGTACAAACATGGAAAAAATACTAATTCTCCCCTATAAAAAAAAGTAACGCGCAGCAATTCCACTAATCAAGTCTGGACCGGTAGGATGCACGTATCGCGTGGCCAAATGTCGCCGATTCGTGAAAAATGAAAATAATAATAATAATAATAATAATAATAATAATAATAATAATAATAATAATCATACAAACAAATTCTGTTTCGCGAAGCAAATGAGGACGCAAATGAGGTAGGCTCTACGCACGGAATAGCAGAGGAGCAGTCCTTTGGCACGCAAGTAGCCGACCCGACACAAAAGGCCAAGAGTAACGGCCCAGCAAAAGCAACGCCTCGAGTTGTGCTAAGGGAGGCGTAAGCTTTGTGCTCTTGGCCAAGCAGACCGCTTCCTCACTGATTTACGCCGACGCACTGAAAACGCGATGCCCTAAATTGCAAATATTAGTTCCAATCACGCCAACAAGCAAAATGTAGAGCAATTGTGTTTTAGAATATAAATAAAATATTTAAAAATCACTTTTAGTGTAATTTCGTTGCCACACATGCAATAATTACAGGAAGCTGTAATATTAAGATGTTTCGTAATTGTCTTAAATTTACAAACTAAAGTTTTCGTATTATTTGTTAATTTAATACATTATTAGTGTTTATTTTATTATTCGCGAAACGATCACTTCTCGTAAATACATCGAGTGCGTTAATAAGTTTCAATGCACTAGATGTTTCATTATTTTTCTTTTATTCAATTTAATTCTATTTTCAGGTAGCTCTATGAATACCATCAATCAGATGAATCTTTAAATCCGTGAAGTCTGGGGTGCATATACGCCACACTGCACAACCATTAAAATTTAGGATAAGTAAAAAAGAATTAATTTTTTTTACAATAAATGTAAACAAAATTCATGCAGGAGGTATAGTAAGACGAAATAAATTTTGAGTGATCTATATATATAGTTCTGAGATTTCGTTGCAATGAAATACGAGATTTTTTTCTTACACCTAATTTAAGACAATCTTTTCAAAAAGTAAGAAAAGGTATTTTAACACTTAAAATAAAAATTTATGTTTTGTATAAACGTCACTGTTTTAAAATAAGAAGAACGACCTACATAAGCGAAAAAACGTTTTATAAGTTTAAGATTCAAACGACCCCTTAAAATTCAACGTCTCAATTCACTAAAATCAATCTCCTATATGTTTGTAAAAGAATCGAAGTTTAATAACGAATTTCTTTCAGGGACGTCGGGGCCATTAATGTATTTCAATTCTAATAAAAGAAATACCTAACACTCGAGCTCACAATCGACCTGGAGATGCCGAAACAAGTAAATTGACACCGTAGATCTGTTACCAAGTGCCAGGCGCTGATTACATTTTTAATCAAGATAGTATCTGGAGTAAGATAGCCGAGAGAGTTGAGAAGGAAGCTCAAGTAAATTAAATTTCGGCAAGCACGCACAAACATTAAGCTTCATTTAACTTAATTGTTTGGTTAATTTAATTGAATCGGA